GACTCCACTGCATTTCTATGAAGGTTCTCATTATTCATTCCTTTGAAGCATAGCTTTGAAGTCAGCGGACAAATTTTCCTTTCTAAGATACGATAGACCATATTGCCTTTGTCACAGGAGAAAAACCAATCACAATACACTACTGCTAGCTGTCAGTCAAGCCGCTGTTGGGCAGCTATAGAGCGAGAGGTGTGTAGCTGGGTTGGCTGTTTTTTTTATTTTTTATTTTTTGAGGAAGTAGCATCTACAGCAATTCCACCGTCTGCCTGATGCACACTTATGCATGAACACACATACACACACACACACGTGTGTACTGTGGTGTCGGGGTGCTAAAATGACAATTGTTGTCCTTTTGTCGATTTAATTGTATTTCTATAAACTTTGTAACATATTCCACAACTTTTTATTCTACAGGTTCTACAAGCAATTCAGTGCATTAGGTTGATTCAGAGCCATGTAGTTCTGTAAATGCATGTGCCAATGATACAACGATGCGTTGACATAAAAAAAAAAACATACTTTTGAATACTTTAGTATTTTTAAAAGCAAGTACTCTAATACTTTAACTTAAGTAAAGATTTGACTGAATAACTTTCACTTGTATTAGAGTAATATTTGACCAGGAATATCTATACTTTGACTCAAGTAGTATAGTAGTGTACTTCGTCCACCTCTGAACACATCCTCATGTCTGTGGTGCAGATCTCACACCCTTCCGTGAGGGGTATACTTATCCTTCTGCATCAAGTATACACCCACAGTAGCATACTCAGGAAAAAGCTAATTTCCTGTGCCTTTATGTGTGACCTTGTGTTACAGGGCTGCTGCACATCAGTGAAGTTTTGTGACACTTAAAAACCAAGTCATTACATGCACGACGACCAAGACCACACATCTGTGGCATGCACGAGGCTGCTTACACGTCACACAAGCAGCCCCAACTAAGAAGGCATCTTGAATGACAGGAAAACAAGCAGCTCTCTCACATTCTACGACTTCACATTGAGCATTTTGCGCAACTTTTCGCCATGTTCCCCCCCCCCCCCCCCCCATCTGAGCATTGTTGCGAAAGGTTTCACAATAGAATAGTATAGAATATTGTATTGTCGTTGTACCACTAACTCCATAAGAAATATGAGTTATCAGACAGTGTACAATATTAAGGACAGTCCGATTTGGATAAAAGAACAGATATACATGTATAAAAGAAATGAAAAGTAGCTTTGATGGAGGTGAGTTTTGCATATATGCTGTTAGGATTATGGTCCCCTAGAACTGTGTTTCCTAACCAGGCCTTCGGGGCCCACAGACAGTCCACGTTTTTGCTCCCTCCCAGCTCCATGCAAAAACATGGACTGTCTGCGGATCCCCGAGGACCAGACTGGGAAACACTTACCTGGAACTAAGTGTCACAAAGAGCAGGAGCTCATCCTCCCGGTCCTGTGTAAGGTTACACCCTGACATAGAACAGTATTATGACCATCCATTTGTTTTATTTGCCTATAATCATTGTTTACAGAGGCGTTGCAGAGGGAACCTAAAATTTGCAGCAATGTAGAGATTCATGGTCCTCAGATAAACACCTAATAACTTGCATGACGTGGCAGTTGACCCAGATATCATACAGTGCACACAGGGTTTGCACTGCATCCAGTTTTCACATAGCGAGGGTCTGCTGTTTCCCAGACTCCCCAGCCAACCACCCCCCCCCCCATACTCTGAGAGAAAGGTAGAGCCTCTGTGTCTCCACTGTGCAGCCACTTCCTCCCCCACACAGAACTGCCAGC